TCCGCTACTCGCCCCTTCACCTAACCCCAGCAGCTGAAGTCGCACAAACAACGGCACTGTGATGGCGTTTTGAACTATTTTATCCACGAGCGATATTTTATCCAAGAGCGAAGTAGCGGTTTGTTTGTTAAATAGGATAGTAATGTTTTTGTTTACAGTCATATCTTTGTTTCCCATCCACTTATTATCACAGGTCCTTACTAACATTTAACCAAGAAAAAATTAAACCACTTACCTCAACCACAACACGAATGTCACCTTTAATGATAATGAGTAAGTATAGTTTTATTTATTTATTTATTTATTTATTTATTATGCATAAAGTAGATTTTGACAATAAGAGAATCTGCCAATATTCCACACATAATGCAAATACATTTATTCTTTCTTCTTCCGCGCACATACGGGGGTACCTGTAAATAGTTGTACTAATTTTTACGCTGCCTCCAGAATAACCGTCATATTTCTTTTCTTGAATCTGTTCTGAAATTGGTTTCTTTTGCTAAATTCTTCTTTTTACAAAATAGTTTGTAAAAAGTAGTTCGTATTAGACACGCTGAAGGATTCAGAAAGAAAACTTGTTTTGGAAACATGGCGTATATATTCTCTTGAAATATTTTGCAAGTAACTTCAGATTTTAGCGCTCTCTTTCGGCGTACTCACTGTTTCACACCGAGAAAAATTACAGTGCTCGATGATTGACGTTTGTTTATATAACCTGCCAATCAAGCTGTTATTACTTGACAGCAACTATCAAAACTAACTGAATTTGATTGGCACCTTGTCAATCAAAGGATGTAGGAAGCTTGAACTAAACGTGTTCGACGACTATAGTGATCCACTGTGTAATGGTTGTAATTGACGTTTGTTTATATAACCTGCCAATCAAGCTGTTGTAACTTGACAAGAACTATCAAAACTAATGAATTTGATTGGCATCTTGTCAATCAAAGGATATTGGAGTTTTACATGTTCGGAGAGAAGAGTGTAGTAATTTTGTTTGACGTTTGTTAAAAAAACTGTCATTCATTGTCGTTGCGCTTGACAGCTTCCATCAAAGTTGAATTAGCCTGTTTGATTCATACTTGTCAATAACAATACATGTCGTAACATTCTGGAGGTAGGGGGCATTTTATTTTCTTTCTTAAAAAAAAAACGTCGGGTTTTTTATTTCAACCGAGAGACTGAAATTTAACAACGTTAATAGACACGGGTTCTTTCACGTGCGTTTTTCATTGTTCTTAAAATCAGTTGTCATTCTTTTTCTGGATATGATGTAAAATGACTATTCATGAAATGACGTTGTTGCCGATGTTTGTTGCTCCATAATTCTTTCTTTGGTGCTCGTACGAAATCGGAACTTCATATACGAACTGAACATATTACTTTAATCATACTCATGTAAAAAAATAAAACCTTGTCATTTTTTCGTGAGCTACAGAGAGAAAAAATGCCGAGATAATGGTGTTATTGGCCAGGTAAAATTAAAAAGTACCGGGTTTCTATCTTCTTTATAGAGGGCCGGGGCAATAAGTAGCCCGTCGCTGTATATTGACAAGAGGGTGCGTGAAAACCGTTGTTTTTAGATAAACTACACGATTAAAACTGCCAATTAAAATTGAAAACAATTTTATGCAATGCGTTAACAATCTTTCGAGCTTTAATCTATGATCTATTGTTAGTACTTCATACAAGTATTTAAAAAACTCCAAGTTTCAATAACGTGTGGAAATAAATAAAATAATAGTGGAATAAGTCGGGCTGGTTTAATCAAAGACTTGAAATTCTTGGTTTAATTTATTGAAATTGTTCGTTCAATATTATACTGTATTTCATCAGATTGATAAACAATTACCTTTTCATTAGTCATATATATATATATATATATATATATATATATATATATATATATATATATATATATATATATATATATATATATATAAAATGAATGCTACGCCGTATAAGAATTAATATTTGATCGAAGAATATTTACTTGAAAGCATACTTTTTTAATCTAATTTATTTTATTTTGTTTTTAAGTAAAAACAAAATTAATTCAGCATCATCAGCATGCATCTTTGCTTTGCCTCATCTAGCATCAGCATATTCTATGATTTTTTGTCCGAAGGCGCATATTATAATGTAATAGATTACCTGGCATGCTTTTTGCAGTTTTAAAATATTCTACGTGCAGTATATTTATGTTTCATACCGCAAATGACAATAAAAGAGAAGCTTTTTCTCTTGGTGATTTTTTTCAACTTATCCCCCCCTTTTTTTCTTTTTTGTGGGAGGGCGAACGGGTCGAAAGTTAACATTTTTGAGACCTTTCCTGCCGTGCGTAAGCACAACCAGTAAAACGCATGAATTTTGTGCTAGCCGTCACAATGAGGCCGAGACCGAAGTAAGGGCAAAACACTGCAGCCTAAGCAGGGGCGGGTTTAAGGATTTCTGAAAATAAAATCACACCAATACTCCTATCATGATATTAAAATTTTGACTAGCTTAATCATAGTTCTACACCGTAGCAAACCGTTCACCGTGGCACCGTTCGCCCTCTTAAATACCAAATGTTAAGGGGGGTAGGCTTCGCATCCGAGGCCTGCCATTCCTAAAAAAAAAGGACCCCCTTCAAATAATCCTGGACCCGGCCCTGAAAATCTTCAAAAGTGCAATCAAATCTGTTAAGGTGAGTATTCCGGCAGAAAACGGCAGACTGCAGCAGACTGTGATAGCCTACATGTCGCAAACCCATCTTGTGTTTAATTTGAATGGGCACGACATGAGATACTATACTGGGACAGGGCAGGGCGCAATTGTCTACTGCATGGTATATTTTGGGCCAGCGCGTAAGCCCATTACCACCCTCATAACCGGAAATATTCTGCATTTGGTTCACCTCTTACGTAGACAGGGTTTTACTTTTAACTACGCCTCTTGTTTGGAATACTGAAATGGCCTCTTGTTTGAAAAACCAACTATCAAATTGAAAAACTTCAGTCTATTCAAAATTCAGCTGCACTTTTCGTTCGTAAAACTCATCAGTCTGGGCCCCGTGTCTCGAAAGCATCGCGTACTGCGAATAGCGATATCACATAGAGGCTATAATGCATTATATGGGGCGAGTATGGGCGAGTTATGGAATCGAGACGCTTGCGCACGGTCGCAATGCGCGATGTTTCGAGATACGGGGCCCTGATCTTATTCTCCGTGATTTACATTGCCTATCGATATCTCAAAAATAAATGTGTATGTCATTATTATTAAATAATTTGCTCAACCATGAGTTGGATGAATGCATAAAAATTATAATAAGGAAAACTGAGGGAGAACCCTGCAAACAAAAAAGATCGCATACTATCCTTGCACGCGTTTGTGCAACGACATCACTCCACAAACGATACAGAACTTTTTAGGACGAGCAAACGCGTCAGGCGTGTCCTTCAATCCAGAAGATACTGTACAAAATGCTTAAATATGAGCTTGATTTTTTTACTATGGTAAGCTTATTTATTGGTTGCACAGTAAAAGTTTGTGAAAAGTACTTCTATAAGTTGAATAAAAACATCGGTTTATGACTTGATTTTCTGTATTTCACACAATGCGTATAGGTTGACATTCATTTGATAAGAGACTGTAGATGATATTAACTGCAGAGCGCCTCATTTGTGTACGTATGAATACATTTTTGTAAATTATTTCTTTTAAGGGCATATTTCATGAAATTTTGCCAAACCTATCTATTGCACAGCACTTTCCCATTTTACAAAAGTAATTCATTATTCTTCATATATTTGTTCATTTTACGTTTCAACTGTATTTATTTCATTTATTTGCATTTTGTATTACACCAAGCAAACACAGAATGCTTTAAACGTTACCATAACGTTTATTGGTCATATAAGCGTTATGGTATCGTTATAATAAGTTCTGTATTTGCAGGTCATCAGCTCTGGTGTCTGATTTTTTTTTTTTTAATTCTGGTTTTCACCATTCTCCACCGGCCTTATCTTAATTTCCATATGCTTGAATAAACGTCTGATCAGCTCCCCATCATTGGTTGTTTTTATGGTCAAGAAGGTATCCCTTATTGATCTGATTTGGGATGACCAAAGGGATGACAAATTTAGGATGACAAATCCAAACATAAATATTTGCTGGGCACAGTACAAGTGTAAAGAATTAGGGCGCACTCAGAACAATTTGATCTGTGGACTAAAAGATCCACGGATCAAATATGGCCGAGCCACTTAAAATCAATGCCGACTTATCCTCTGACGGTCTCCCCGCCTCAACACGCGCCATTCCTGCAGGGGCCTTGCAATTTAACCTTTAACCGCGATTTAATCCATTTAATGTTGCGAGTGGAGTAGGGGTGATCATCAGAGGATTAGGCGACTTTGCTTTTAAGTGGGATCGACTATATTTAGCCCGCAGATCACCTGTTCTGAATGCAACATCAAAACAACTTAATCCGCGGATGCGGATCAAATATGGCCTACCCACTCGAAAGTTTGGCGAATTAACCTCTTATAGATACTGAATAGATTCCCCACGGGAATTACACGGTAAGCTTTCAAGTGGGTCGGCCATATCTGATCTGTGGATCTGTTAGTCCGTGGATCAACTTTGGTTGATGGTACGTCCATTGCCAAATTCATATCTGTGAGTTTCCAGAGAAAATTCAGTCTTTAGCCATGGTGCAGGGTAACTGCTATGCTACGCCCCACGCGTGCTATAGACATTGTAGGTATTGGGATCGTTGGTTGCATTCATGCTATTGGCTAATGTGGCACGTACTTTTCTTTGGGTTTGTTTCTCTGCCGAATTAAACATTTAATGATTTTGCACGAGGGTTTTTTACTAGGAAACGCCTTTTGAAAAAGGACGTTTCAGTCATTTACTTTAATGGCACAGGTTGTTACAATTTCATCGAGGCTGACTCTAGGCTTTGAAGATGCTTCAATGATAATTAAAAAAACACTGTTCAAGACCAGTTTGATGCACATATGTAATTTTATTAAGCATAGGATTGTTTTGTTAGGTCAGTTGTTGCGCCCTGCGTGAATTTCACTTTCAAGAGTTCAAATATTCGAATGCAGCACGGCATCTCACTAAACTAAATGCACTTGAAATTATATAGTAGCTAAAATTTCCAAACAAATGTGTACTAATAAGAAAAAGGAAATCGGTGGCTCAAAAAAGTCCACGTTTCCAGACTTTTTACTTGGGAAATCTCAAAATGTTTGCATTTATGAAAGCACGGTAGTTTACAGATAGTAAATAGAAATCAGGTATATATCAGGATTATAGAGTCAATATTTTCTAAATATCATTGGTACTTTGGTACAAGCTCCTATGAACTTTTGGGAATAAGGAGGCCTAAGCGGCATTCTTAGCGGCCTCGGCTTTAAGGGCGGCGATGGCTCCCTCAGCAATGGCTACACCGGTCCCTTTTAAGTCAAACATATTCATATTCTCCACCTCGTACGTGATGAGATTGCCAAAAAGATTAGCCTTGACCCTGGCAATGGGTATAGGTTGACCGTAGGACACTGCCTGGCCGTAGGAAATCTAAAATTAAATGATAAAAATTATGAAATTGTGTCATCCAAGGTTCTGCAAGGACAGCTAAAAGTATAAAAAATTGCCAAAGTGATATTTTCTGTGTATATTTTGTCTACATATCCTGCAAAGCTCCCAATTTAGACCGTAAAAACTATAAAACTATTAAATAAAATCTACCTGGCGATTTAACGTTTTTAAGTAGTTCACGGGTCATGCAGAACTAAATCATTTAATTTAAAGGAACAAAACATCGAATTCAAGTGCAGAGACAGGTCCAGCAATAATTCGTGAAAAGGAAAATTTTGGCGGGTATAATACCGTTTATAGTGCCTTTAAACGACTGGGAACATCGTCTCGCACCCCTTCCCTCCAAATTTAGAAACGTGTATTCTTAGTCAATGAGACAAAATAATGATAAACAGTACAAGTAACAATGGTTTTCAAAAATGTTGAAAAAAACTTCTAAAGCATCTTATCCGGGGATTTTTTCAACAATCGACAATGCCCTGGAATAACTTCTCTTCCTCTCGGATCATTGCTCGACTCGTCCCTGCACTGGAGCCCGATATTTCATACCACTTTAAATCAAATAATTGAGCTCTAAATGATCCCGGTAATGTTAAGTACGCGTCTTCCTTCACATTTCAAGAGGAAATACTTGATACTTTATTTGAGAGTTTGATCTGAATTTGGTAAGCAGCATGAGGGAATATGTGGTCACATAGATAATGATTTGACAAAGTGTCCAACGGAGATGCGAAATACATTGCCTTTTATCTTACCAGTAAGTATCGAGTTAGATACCCTTTACATGTATTTAGGCTACTTTAAAAATAAGCATAAGAAACGAAAAATTACAAACTATGATGCATATATATATGTATGTTTTACATACATGCAGGTTAGTTTGACAACAGGTGCAAGACAGACAATTTACAAACTATGCGAGGAATATACAGCACGTTTGTACAGTCTCGAAACGGTATGGAATGGCCAAAAGACTACCTTTTCCGCGAAGCATGTTAGGACAGACAGTCGAAAAGAGAGAAGGGGAGGGTAAAAAACTATTTTGGCAGTGTAAATATTTATCTCACCTCATGAATTTCGTACTTGTCTTCTTTGTACAGTGAGAGCCATCTCAAGTTACTCAAGGCCTGAAGCACGTCTTTGAGGGCGACTTCGTATCCATCGCAGTCTGAAATAAGTCAAATATCTACATATACAGTGTCGCTCTATATACCATGCTATACTACATATATACGAGGTTTAAAAAAACTATTCCGAATTTTCGTGCCTATGTATATAAAACCAAGCATGTTCTTGGTGGTATTTATATTTCTCGAATTAAAACTATTCTCCTGACAGTCAGAAATTCTTAATTATCCTGTTTTGGGCAGCGATTGTCCGTGGCAGACACGAATTATTTTGAATGAAATAATTCCAACGTCTCCTTGCTAATGTTGTCCCTTTTCCCTAAATTTTTCTTTTTTTTAGTGATTTCCTCTTCTTCTTGTCTATTTTCTGCCATTGTTTTAATTATTAAGTGTTTTTTCCACGATTTCTTTTTTGTTACTAAGAACAGTTGTTCCATGTTACCTCTGGTTTTCACGATGTCGCAATCAGGGCACTGAGGGATGTAATAAGAGCACGCGGCGGAGGCATTACTCTGAAGAGCGTTGCAGGTCGGTTCTCCGGAACGACGGATTCTGTGTGCATTGGTGAGAATCTCGTACAAGTCTCGACGTCGCCCTATAATATAGAAAGACAGACCCCTACTCTCAAAATTGCTCAAAATAGTTATTGTCAAATTACAGTCATTCTCCCATGTATGTTGGGGAGAACAGTGCCGCTGATTATAATTGATATTGTAAATAATTATTCTATTAATTTTTAACATAGGAACTTTGCATTGATATATGTTACTTAAAAAACGTTAATCAAAAATTCATTGGAAATATGGAAGATGCCATTATTATTATTAACCAACAACACCACTTTTTACTTTTAAGATATTACTCGTTCAATTGATAAAAGAATAATTTTAAAAAACTCACTTTTGCCTAAACCAAAATCAAGCTTCCCAAATAAGTTCCCCAAACTGCTCCCAATGCTACTCATTAAGTTTCCAAAATTAATATTCCCAATATTCTCAAAGCCTGATCCGATATTTTTGAAGAAGTCACCAGTTTCATGCAGTCCTATCTGAAACTAAAGAATAATTAAGGTAATGAAATATATGTGGGTAATTTCTATTTTGAATTATATAATGACTTTGGCAATGAACTATGTCATGTTTGAGAAATTCAATTCAATTGTGCTCAGTTATTTGTTGGTTAAATAAAAAATTTAATTAAATTAAATATTGTCACTGCCCAAAACATTACAAAAATCATGATTTATAATGGCATCATAATAGTGATTTGGTGACATATCACTACGAATTTGGGATTAAAAAGTCATTTGCCAGTTGAGATACCCGTTAATTGGATTTTCATTGTGTCCACAGGAGAGCAAAATAGTAGATTTATTCCCTTTACATAAGGAGAATAAAGTAGTGCAGAATGTCATGTTGCTTTTTCTGATATGATAGGCTGCCAAAATCTCCGCTTCTGATGTCTACCATTCTAATGAGATACTTACACCGCCATCAGTGAAGAATTTGTCAGTTTCTGTTCCAAGGTAAACAAAAGGTTGTTTAGCGTCTCCTACTACGAAATTTGGAAGTGATGAAGTGAAGAAGTTGGGAAGACCGCTCTCGAAGAAAACTTTTGAATCGTACAAAAACTTATTAAAGCCCGTTGGTGAGCAGACATCCTCTGCGCTGTAATAGAACGAAAACCGGGGTTAAGAAAAGCGGACAACATCGTAAAGGAAAAAAATTATTATGCCAGTTCACCACCTCTCAAGCATAAATTTAGCTAAAAGAACTACACTCCAAGAATTAATTTTTGAATTTTTTCTTCCATAAAATCGTTATAAACAGTATATTGTCATGAACATTCTGTTACTGTCTACTTACCGTGCTTCGCACTTCGCTTTAACGCAGTCAACACAAAGTTGTGTCTTCGTCTCTACTACTTTATTACAAGAAGCGTTTACTACTTGAAACTGCTCGAGGGAGACATTGTATGCTACTTGGTCGGCTTCTATTTGCAACACCAGTATTTGAACACCGTTACTGACATAAGCTGAAACCAAGGGGAAAAAAACTTACAAGCATTCTATATTGCATAGAGTCATTTATCAATTTCATTCTGTTCTGTTTTGTCCACAGTTCAAATGTCAGGAAAATATATCCTTTATCGCCCATCGCTTGTTGTATTGAAGCTCTTAGAAACAGGAGATGGAAAATGAGGAGTACTCTGTCTATGGCTTATGGTAACAAACGTTGTTAGACAAAAAATTAACTTAATAGAATTAAATAAATAAAAAAATTATTGAGCACAGATCTTTTCCAAGGAACAGTTTGTTCTTTTTAAAGAAAAAGAGTTAATTTTCAGATGGATTAGAATTTAAGCCCCTGTTAAACAGTTGTGTTCTTCGAAAACATATCTATAATAATAATAATAATATTAATAATAATAATAATCTGCTTCTGAGGTCTGGACAGATTTATCAAAGAAAGTACAAGTATAAAACACCACGTTAAATTCTAACGATTTCATACTGCCTACCTGGATAGAGGCCTGATGGTACCACCTCGCGACTGTAAGATGGCGCGAAAACTACCGCCAAAACAGCAAATAAAAATATAACTTTTCCCATTATAACACCTTCTTATATTTCTGTATGCCTTATCTATTTCTCTCTCTCTCTGTCTGTTGTCTCTGTGTCTCTTGCTGAGTTATGTTTATAATGCCGAGAAGCAGCGCCTTTTATACTTTTCACGAAGCCCACACAGTCACACCTATGGTCAAGTTTTGTTTACGATAGCATGCTGTCCGGACAGCATCCGCATCTCATGCGTCCAGTCCCAGCCTAGGGTAAAGTCTCCTCTCACGCATAGGTGAAATTAGTATAATAATCATTATTATCATGCCAAGTTGACGTCCAGTTGATTTTTATGTCCATATCAACAGGTCAATGACCTTCACGTCGTCTAGTGGAAAATGTCCATGGTATTGACAAATTTTGAGGCGTTAATCTATTTCACTATTTACGGACGTACATGAATGAACAAAATTTTTATACGTTGTTTTTATTGATGATTTTTATCGATCTTTACTTGCTTTGATAATACTTGTGATCTAAAAACTTAATATGGACGAGAAACACACTGGACGAAATAATATTTTGTCACATATATGTAGCACTAGAAAAGTACCCGTCCAAGGGCCGCATATGGCTCTGAGATTTATTGATTGATTTATTGATATATAACACACATATATACTCTATAAGTGAATACTAAAAGAGGTACATTGCTTGGAATTTTGCCGCTCAGCGACGCTATTGTTTTCAGCTGCGAATGCCTCCCCCTGCATGGCATTTACTTGCAAACTACGGTCGTAAATCGTCGTCAAAAGCTGTAAAATGGTGGCAATTGCATGGATTTGACACTTTGTTGACGTTGTCAGAGAGTTAATGGATTGTTTGTACGCGATTTCATAGTACGGGTTTTTACTGCAATCGAGATTAACGGGACTAAAGATGGGCTTCTCCTATCTTATTATACATATTATGGAATCATAGGAGAAAATTTTACGACTGGTATAGCATGAAAAGTAGTTAAAAGAGCATTAGTTATATAAAGACAACTGTTTTCAATAGTCACTTCAAAACATGAAAATTCTACAGACGGACAGGTTAATAATATGTTATCATAGTACCCTTGGGTGTCGGACAATCTTCGTATCAGGTACACGTCGGAACTTGTTGTTTTCGTTTGTTGACGTATAGCAAAACGCACCTCGACGGCATTAGCAGCGTGCAAAATATGTCGAGGTGCGTTTACCGCAGACTGACGTATCTTTGTCGAAAGGATCATTTTATTTTTTTGATTTTATTTTTGGAAAGCGTGTGGTCGACATCATCCTAAAAAAAGGTGTCATGATTTACTTAAGTCACGACGACTGAGGCGCCGATAAAGAAGCGGTTCAAAAGTGACTGTCATTGGCAATTAGATGGGTGATCATGAAAAGTAAGAAGCTAGTTCTCTGGATATTTATACTAAATACACTACGCAGAAAAAATACACTGAAAGACTGATAAACTCAAGGCAAGGTGTGAAGGAAAGCTTCCATGCAATCAAACTAAAACGAATATCTTACTTTTCAGCCGTTCCTCGATCCTAGATTCAGTTTTTGATTTAATTAAGTAAACATGTTACATGGACTTTTATTCTTTTTTACGCTAAATTGATCTGGTGAAAAAGCACAGTGAATAAATTTAATAATTATTATTACAGTAATAATACATACATACATACATACATACATACATACATAAACCGTATCAGTTGAATAACTCTACAAATTATACAAATTTGTAATGAACAGTGAAGAGAGTAATCATTCATAAACATTATGGATTGGAACTGTTTTTTTTTTCTCTTAATTGTGACTGCTGATTCGAAATCTTGTCAGGATATTTCTCTTGCTTGGATCATATCTACATGTACTCTATACTTCAGACCCTTCTAGCTATACAAAACTGGACGAAGGAATTCTGGTTAAGTTTACTTGATATCAAAATATATTTTTTCCTTTTTCAGAATCAAGTTTAAATGTTGTATGTTCTCGGGAGGGTATTTTTGTGATACCTTACTGTGTTAGTTATTAGACTGGGAAATATTCATGCAGAAAGAGTTTTTAAAAAAGGTTAACGGCGATATGCGGCATTTCGGAAAATTATCAGAAGCGCAGTAGCAATCTTCTTGGAGGATTCAGGATGTGCCAATCACCCGCCTCATATGGGTTGAAGTGAAAAAAACTTAATAAGAAATCGACTGGCTGCAGCAGACTGTGCATGTCTCAAACATATTTGTCTTTTAATTTGAATGGCCACGGCAAATATCTGTTGTAAAAAAAATATTTTTGGACAACGCGTAAGCCCATTAAAATCAAATGCGGATACTCAAGTACTCATAGCCGGAAACGCTAAAATTAATTTTGTATCTGGTTTACCTCCTACGCAGACAAGGTTTTATATTTATCCTTCTCAAAACAACCTGCTTTGGTAAGTTTTGTTGTTTTCGTCCAAATCGAGAATCCTGTTGATCTTTGCTATAAAAGATACTGTCCGTAAACATAAACAGCCACACCTGTAAGGATGCGTGTTACAAGCATGCTGGATCTATTTCATTTTGAAACTATTTACTATTTTTAAATAGAAAGTAAATTCCGGTTTAAAAGGTCAACCCACCAAGAGTTATGCAGGCCAGTGATTTCTCTCTCTCGTTCTCTCTCTCTTCCTCTCTCTCTCTCTCTCTCTCTCTATCAGGGAATTGTAACGGCGTCCTCTCTACTGTCCGAGGTCTGTTCCGGGAGTTGAGAAGGGGGGGGGGCTCCCTATCAAGGTTTCTGTCTTCCTCTTGGAGATTGATATGACATGCATTACTTACCTTTCTTTAATTCCTTGGTCAAACGTAGTGTAAAAAGAAAAATTGCGCCAATCGTACAAGATCGTGATCATAAATTTTACAATTATAACTATTGTTATTGGTCACAAGCCTCATGAAGGGTTTTTACTCCCCCGAATAAGAGGGATACATTAAAATACATAGTGCTGATGCTCGAGACCCTTGTCGCTAGCGAGTTTCCAATGCCAACTCCTATTTTCAGCGAATTTGTTTTGTATATTAGATGCTTTCATTTATTTTTTGTTTAAAAAATGCAACACAAGGGATATCAGTTTCATGGGCGACTTCAGATGAGAAAGAACTAAGTGTTCGAATCCGCGTTTACTTCGTTTACAATTTGTGCAAATTTGATGTTTTGAAGAGATGATTGAATTACCTTAACTTTTTTCCGTACTTCAGATTGCTAAAAAGAAGGAACATGAAACATAAAAAAGAAGCCGTTATTTTTGTCATCTTGTTCCAATTACTGTAGGTTGATGGTGGCTTCATTTTTAATGATCTTATCAAAAACTGAGACGACCAATTTTCAAAGTTCAACTTCATGACCAATACGCTACTCAACCAGACATTTCTGTGCTCAGTTGCCTTAAATATCTCAAAATGGTAATGAATGGTGATCACCAGCGACTATCTTGGGTGATCAACGGTCGCATGTCTTGGACGTAACTTCTTGGCTTCGTAAACGCACCGAAGCATTTCCTACAGTGCGAAGTCAAATATTGCCCCAGTTCTAACCGAGAGTTCAGATTTTTGCAAGTTTAGCCTCGTAATTATACCCCGAATTATCACTGTCATTGTTGGTCCTTTGATCATGTATTTCTAAAGAGACAAAACTTTAAGTTGTAATTTTAGTTTGATCGGAGGCAATACAATTGCAAAAGACGAGATGTCAAGATAGGCCTATTACTTTGAAGTCGAGTAAGTAATTTCATTCTTTTCTAGTTAATCTCAAAGTCATTTGTTTTACAATGTACTGCATCAAATTAAAATCTGACATACGCATCTAAAGTACCTTTTTCTTCTTTATCAATGATCATGGAGGAGCGACAGGTATACCATTGAAATATCATGCTATTGAATTTGTAACACACACACACACACACACACACACACTATCGTGCACATGTAGGCTACTATAAAAAAGGTCGTGGTGACACTAGGGCGTCGAGGACAAGATCAGTATGTTTTATAATCCTCTGTAATCCCTGGACACTCTCTGTGACCGGTTGTTGGGACTCAGATCCAATGGAATGTTCATGTCACTCATAACACAGGGTCATAACAAAGTGTGTGTGGTTTGCCAGGAAAGGAACTCCCACTCACCCTAACTGTTAACCGACCTGTAAATCCGTGTCACGATGCTCCCTAAAAATTGGTCACGATTCAAACGGTTGTTAAGATTGCGATTCTGATAAATACACGAACATTTCGTTTCATATGTTATGGATAATGGAACTATACGCCAAAATCATTGTGAATCGATTTGGAAAAATGCGCATTGAACACTTCACGTTAACGTTATTTCAAAGTATGATGCCCAACTCTCGGTCTTCTGTGAAATGCCCCAGCTGCATGTTCACAAAAAACGTTCTGCATAATTAAATATGAAGCTTGATAAATATTTAGAAATACACTCTAAACTTATGTCTATATATTTGCAACAAAAATAAAAACGCGCATGCATATATCCATTTGTTATTATCAGGACATTTTAAACAGCTTTATTAGTGGTTTAAAAGTAGGATAAACCTATTTATTAAGAGACACGACGCAACCAGAAAAAATAATAAATTTAAAGCTTTCAGTAGTCACTGAGTGTTTGTTGTAAAAGGAACAATCGGTGCTATGTCGTGCCTTGGGACCCAAGTCACTTACGAAAACGGGTGAAAGTGTTCTGTACAACCCATTATTTTTGTACCTTGTCATTATCATGGTTTTGTTAACAAGTGTCGAAAATATGACAAGCATGAAAACTATAATTTAGCATCTGCAATTGCACGTTACGCTGTCGCCCGGGGCAATGTGGTTTTTCTTCTCCCTCCCCTGAGACAGAAATTATACGAGTAGCCAAAATACTCGAATTATTTGCTGGGTCAATGTCTCAAATAGCCACGTCCTTCATAGAGATATGCTATCGGACTGGCAGCTCCTATCGTATTGTAACAAAAAGGTGAACATCCTTTACGCGTCCGTCTTTGCGTGCTGACACCGCTTTGCCGCACGGGGGGGTTATCCATAAGCTGATCTCAAATATGAAATTAAAAACTCAAGTCGTGTTCTTTTTACGATAAACCCACGGATGACCACCAAATAAAGTAA